TTATCCAACACATCTTCCTCCTCTTATTTTCTCCACAACAACCACCTTGTGAGGTGGGTTGGGCTGAGAAAGAGTGACTGACCCAGCTGGCTTTCATGGCTAAGGCAGGAATTGAACTCGTCTTCTGCTTTCTAGCCCGGTGTTTGAACCACTAGACAACACTGGCTATACACATCCAGAATTGAGGATATCAGCTGACTCTTAAAATTCTGGTTTTATAGAGGAAAAAAATGGCAAGTACTTTCAGATGGTTGGGAAAGAAAAATTTGAAGTTCTCTCTTTGGTTTTAGTTGGAATTCTAAGTTAAGTGGAGCAGAAGTGTGCTTCATAATTAACTCTAGGTGCTAAAATATCATTGTTAAATAATTAAAGTTTTAAAATCATATTATGTGGCCCACTCATTTGTACTGCAACCCCTAAATGTATGGCACTTGGGCAAAAGGAAGTTATATACACCAATCCTAATTCTTTTTTATGTTTTTATTTTGATTTGTCAATTGCTTACAAGATAATAGGTATAAGTATATACATAGTTATGAATACATGAAATGGGTACATATAAGAAAAATAAAAGAAACAATAGGACAGGTACGGTAGGCACATTGGTGCGCTTATGCACGCCCCCTATAGACCTCTTAGGAAAGGGGTGAGGTCAATAGTAGACAGTCTAAGGTTAAAGTTTTTGGGGTTTGGAGAAGAAACCACAGAGTCAGGTAGCGTATTCCAGACATTGACCACTCTGTTGCTGAAGTTGTATTTCCTGCAATCAAGTTTGGTGCGGTTAACCTTGAGTTTGTATCTATTGTGTGCTCTTGTGTTGCTATGGTTGAAGCTGAAGTATTCATTGACAGGTAAGTCATTGCAATGTATGATTTTATATACCATACTTAGATCAGACTGAAGACGGTGTAATTCAAGGTTTTCTCGGTCTAGAATTTCAAGTCTGGTGGAATAAGGTATTCTACAACGAGTAGAGGAGTGGAGAACTCTTCTTGTGAAATATTTCTGGACTTTCTCAATTGTGCTAATATCAGATACGTAATGTGGGTTCCAGACTAATGAGCTGTATTCGAGTATTGGTCTAGCAAATGTTTTGTATGCTCTAGTTAGTAGTGTGATATTACCAGAGAAAAAGCTACGTAGGATTAGGTTAACAACTCTTAATGCCTTTTTGGCTATGTAGTTGCAGTGGGCTCTAGCACTTAGATCATTAGAGATGAGTATTCCAAGGTCCTTTACAGAGCTTGGATCATCAACAAGGTCTTGACTATTCTGCTTGTATTTTATTTTCTGATTTTTTTTTGCCAATATGTAAGACAGAGCATTTATTTGTTGAGATTTGAAGTTGCCATTTGTTTGACCATTCTGATACATAGTCAAGATCTTTTTGAAGGGTAGCAGTATTGTCTGTGGTATTGAACAGCTTTACATCATCAGCGAAGAGAACGCAGTTGCTCTTAATGTGACCACAGAGATCATCTATGTAGAGTATGAAGAGAGTTGGTCCTAGAACACTGCCTTGGGGGACACCACAATTGACAGGTACAGAATTTGATAGGACGCTCCCAATTTTGACCATTTGTTGTCTGTTTGACAGGAATGCTTCTATCCAGTTATGCAGTTGTCCATAGATGCAAATAGTTTGCATTGTTTTAAATCTCCATTAGAGCTTTTCAAAACAAACTCATGAATAACATTCCTACCATGCTTGGACAGTAACATGACTGCTTGTTGGTCCCAGCTATTCAGGAACATCTTCACAGAGGGCCAGAAGAGAGCTTTTCTGCAGACCTCCTTGCTGGCCATGTATGATCCCTTGATGAGGATAAGTCAGGCTGGAATCCTTCTCGTCTATTCCCTCTTGGGGAAGACAGCAGAATTAATGCAGAAATCGGTAAGCTACTTGATTTGATTTATACGCGAGGAAGCCACGGGGCCTCATTCCTCACCCCAATACAAATAGGCATAGCTTGAAATCACTCCTGGTGGAACGGAAAAGGATGATGAGAGCCTCATACAGAAGTCAAATTGTAGCATTGCAAATATTTTAGAACTGTTCCCCTAAGGAGTCTGAGGCACGTACTACAGGGAGGGGTGGGATTCTACAGTTCGGACCGGTTCAGCTGAACTCCTTGCTCCAAAGATCAACTGACAGCGAGCCAGTTCACTGCGATGAGCGTGTGGGCCCGCCCCCTCATGCTCTTTCCTGTGTTTTATTTCCTTTGTTTAGAGCACAGCTGATTCGCGTGGCAGAGTGGTTTGCCACGCCTCAGCTGTTTTATTCACAGGGACCGCTGTAGAAGATAAATATTAGAGCTTTTCTAAATGTGGAGCGCATGCGATCACCAAATTGGTTGTTATACCGGTGGAATCCCACCCCTGACTACAGGCCAATAAAATAACCAAATATATCTATATAAGGGCAGTAAATTCAGTAGGCAACAAAACAGCACACAACTTTTTGAATTATTCAGAAGCCTTAATTGAATGGAAAACTGAATAAGGGAAAGGAAAGACTATTGGTTGATACTGAAACTAGGCTGGCTTTCAGCCCCATAAGGAGAGGCAACCTGATGCCTTCCACATAACGTTGTGCTGTACTACAATTCGTATTAGTCAGTGGGGCCTGTTGTCAAGGATTAGAGGAGTCGCAGTCTAAAACAAGAATCTTATTTTTAAGGAACTTATGGGAGGAAACCATGAGAGGTTTGTTTCTGCTAATATAGAAATGGGAAAGTAGGTAGGTAGGTAGGTATGTAGGTAGATAGGAAGGAAGGAAGGAAGGAAGGAAGGAAGGAAGGAAGGTAGGTAGGTAGGTAGGAAGGAAGGAAGGAAGGAAGGAAGGAAGGAAGGAAGGAAGGATTTCACCACTGCTAGGCATTACAATATGGTCCCCAATAATGTCACTATTCCTACTAAAAATGAAAATATTTATGAAAATATAAAGTTGACTCTCAGGTTCCTCTCAGTCCTCAGAAAAGGGCAACATTTCTTCTGTACCAATACCCTCTAGTATGACAAACAGAGCAATTTTTTTAAACGAGCACACCTGGAGGCAGTTGTGGTGATAATTGTTTAAAAAAAGGAAGGGCAGATGAGAAGATTCCATAGCAATTGTAGAAAACGTTAGCAGCAATGATTCAATAAAAAAGACACAATTAAATGTGCAAGAAACTTGGGGCTGGGGTGGGGTAGGCCAGAGAGTCTAGCACTTGACCAAGAAGCCATGTTCGCTCTCTCTAGATACAGAGATTCTGCACATGTATATTGGAAGGCGTAGGTATTATTATAGCCAATGAAGGCAAAGGGGGGGGGAAAGTGAAGTGATGACACCCGTCCTTTGTCTCACAATGTCTGATCCTTTGTTTTGGGGTTGGGCTTCCGCTCCCCGCATCTCCAGGCAGAAGACGTGGAGAAGGAGATCTACAAGCAACTTCACAAGCTTCGGATTCTCCGAGAGGTGCCCGAAGCATTGCAAAACTTTCTCCCAAATTAAGGTAAGGCTGCTGGCCAAGCAGCAAAAGCTTTTCGAGCAGAAGAAGATCCCACCACAGTCAGACAGGAAAGGTCTGGATTGACTCCTCTTTATTGGTATATCAAATCATTTTGCACTCAGTTTAAAGGATTTTGACTCAGAGAACTTCCGCATTCCCTTCCATATTGATATTGCTTATCTTATTAATAGAGTGCTACTGTTACTCTAAAACAGCAGTTCCCAACTTTTTTGGCTTGGTGGCCCAGCTTGGTGCAAGGAGGGTATGTGAATGGCAGGCGGACGCATGTGTGCAGAGCTCTGTTTGTGTGAGTGGTGCGCAAGCGCCTTCCAGTCACACCAATGGAGCTTCATGTGCAAGTGGAGGGTGCTTGCACTCACACATGAAGCTCCATTCACACGAGTGGAGCTTGGCATGCGTGTCTGCACTTGCTTGGCGCTCCTGCAAGTGGAGCTTTGCACACAGGCTTATCCATTTCTCCCATAGCCCTGTTTTGAACAGGGGACCCCTGAGGTGGGAGGGAGGGATTAGATTGTCTGCTGCAAAGTCATAGTGCTAAAACTAGTTAATGAGCATGCATTGTAAAAGATAAATTCCTTTTTTCTTCTTCTCAACCATCACTTCTATAACTTCTGAAGATAAATCTGTAGTTAAGCTCTTGGACTCTCAAGAAAAGCAAGCAATTAACACCAGTTTCACTGATTATTATTTTTTTGCTGGAGAGAAAGTGCTTTCAAAGGAGTAGGATCTATGGACCAGTCATGAGATGTAACTATGCATTCTGTTTCTTTGGTCAAATCTTGGCTATTTGCGGTCTCTTGGAAAGATTTAAAAATCTCAGTAATTTTATTTTTGTTGTTGTTGTGAATTATGTAATCCAGCTTCCTTTCTTGAAGGTTGCAAAAAAAAAGTCGGGGGAAGATGAAGAGTAGGAGGAGAAGGAGAAAAAAAGGAGGAGGAGGAGGAGGAGGAGGAGGAGGAGGAGAAGGAGGAGGAGGAGGAGGAGGAGGAGAAGAAGAAGAAGAAGAAGAAGAAGAAGAAGAAGAAGAAGAAGAAG